AAATGAAAGTCAAACACATTCTAACAAAGCTATTTTAATCAAATGAAAGTCAAATACATTCTTTAAAGCTAGTTGAATCAAATGAAAGTCAAGCACATTCAAACAATGCTATTTGAATCAAATGAAAGTCAAACAAATTCAAAAAAAGCTATTTTAATCAAATGAAAGTCAAATACATTCTACAAAGCTATTTGAATCAAATAAAAGTCAAGCACATTCAAACAAAGCTATTTGAATCAAATAAAAGTCGAACACATTTAAACAAAGCAAATTGATCAAATGAAAGTCAAACACATTCAAACAAACCTATTTGAATCAAATGAGAGTCAAATACATTCTACAAAGCAAATCGAATCAAATGAAAGTCAAACACATTCAAACAAAGCTATTTTAATCAAATGAAAGTCAAACACATTCAAACAAAGCTATTTGAATCAAATGAAAGTCAAACACATTCTACAAAGCTATTTGAATCAAATGAAAGTCAAATAGATTCTACAAAGCTAATTGAATCAAATGAAAGTCAAACACATTCAAACAAAGCTAAATGATTCAAATGAAAGTCAAACACATTCAAACAAAGCTATTTAAATCAAATGAAAGTCAAATACATTCTACAAAGCTAATTGAATCAAATGAAAGACAAACACATTCAAACAAAGCTATTTTAATCAAATGAAAGTCAAATACATTCTTTAAAGCTAGTTGAATCAAATGAAAGTCAAGCACATTCAAATAATGCTATTTGAATCAAATGAAAGTCGAACACATTTAAACAAAGGAATTTGAATCTAATGAAAGTCAAACACATTCAAATAAAACTATTTGAACCAAATGACAGTCAAATACATTCAAACAAAGCTATTTGAATCAAATAAAAGTCAAATACATTCTACAAAGAAAATCGAATCAAATGAAAGTCAAACACATTCAAACAAAGCTATTTTAATCAAATAAAAGTCAAACACATTCAAACAAAGCTATTTAAATCAAATAAATGTCAAATACATTCTATAAAGCTATTTGAATCAAATGAAAGTCAAACACATTCAAACAAAGCTATTTGAATCAAATGAAAGTCAAATACATTCTACAAAGCTAATCGAATCAAATGAAAGTCAAATACATTCAAACAAAGCTATTTTAATCAAATGAAAGTCAAATACATTCTACAAAGCTAATTGAATCAAATGAAAGTCAAACACATTCAAACAAAGCTATTTAAATCAAATAAATGTCAAATACATTCTATAAAGCTATTTGAATCAAATGAAAGTCAAACACATTCAAACAAAGCTATTTGAATCAAATGAAAGTAAAATACATTCTACAATGCTAATCGAATCAAATGAAAGTCAAATACATTCAAACAAAGCTATTTTAATCAAATGAAAGTCAAATACATTCTACAAAGCTAATTGAATCAAATGAAAGTCAAACACATTCAAACAAAGCTATTTAAATCAAATAAATGTCAAATACATTCTATAAAGCTATTTGAATCAAATGAATGTCAAACACATTCAAACAAAGCTATTTGAATCAAATGAAAGTCAATCACATTCAAACAAAGCTATTTTAATCAAATGAAAGTCAAATACATTCTACAAAGCTAATTGAATCAAATGAAAGTCAAACACATTCAAACAAAGCTAATTGAATCAAATAAAAGTCAAACACATTCAAACAAAGCTATTTTAATCAAATGAAAGTCAAATACATTCTACAAAGCTATTTGAATCAAATGAAAGTCAAGCACATTCAAACAAAGCTATTTGAATCAAATGAAAGTCAAATACATTCTACAAAGCTAATTGAATCAAATGAAAGTCAAACACATTCAAACAAAGCTAATTAAATCAAATAAAAGTCAATACATTCTACAAAGCAAATCGAATCAAATGAAAGTCAAACACATTCAAACAAAGCTATTTGAATCAAATGAAAGTCAAACACATTCTACAAAGCTATTTGAATCAAATGAAAGTCAAATACATTCTACAAAGCTAATCGAATCAAATGAAAGTCAAACACATTCAAACAAAGCGATTTAAATCAAATAAATGTCAAATACATTCTATAAAGCTAATTGAATCAAATGAAAGTCAAACACATTCAAACAAAGCTATTTGAATCAAATGAAAGTCAAATACATTCTACAAAGCTAATTGAATCAAATGAAAGTCAAACACATTCAAACAAAGCTATTTGAATCAAATAAAAGTCAAACACATTCAAACAAAGCTATTTTAATCAAATGAAAGTCAAATACATTCTACAATGCTAATTGAATCAAATGAAAGTCAAACACATTCAAACAAAGCTTTTTTAATCAAATGAAAGCCAAATACATTCTACAAAGCTAATTGAATCAAATGAAAGTCAAACACATTCAAACAAAGCTATTTAAATCAAATAAATGTCAAACACATTCTATAAAGCTATTTGAATCAAATGAAAGTCAAACACATTCAAACAAAGCTATTTGAATCAAATGAAAGTAAAAATACATTCTACAATGCTAATCGAATCACATGAAAGTCAAATACATTCAAACAAAGCTATTTTAATCAAATGAAAGTCAAATACATTCTACAAAGCTAATTGAATCAAATGAAAGTCAAACACATTCAAACAAAGCTATTTAAATCAAATAAATGTCAAATACATTCTGTTTGGGGGTTTTCTGTGTCCTTCGGGAGAGTTACAATTTCCTAGCAGACTTCCTTCTTACGCCTGTACTTGCACCTAGCCGACTTCCTTCCTGCGCCTGTACCTGCACAAGTAACGGAGACTCCGGATGGGGGGTGGGAGTTCCGCCTCCGAAGATTAAGTTAGTATCTTTTCGAAGTGGAATAAGAACTGTAAAAGCTTCTCGGTTCGAGAGCGTTTCAGTAGGTTTAGGCTTTGTTTGGTTTTTTGTGGTTGCAATTAATGTCCGTCCCTCATAAATGAGGTCTACCCTTTCTATTTATAGTAAGGGAGAACTGTACCTCAATAAGGGTATAAGGGACACGTGTCTGCAAAGGAAATGGGCCTTTGCAGACTGCTGAAAAATTGACACGTGTCAAGCATTTATTGGGCCACGTGTCTTAGGTATTTTCACCCTAAACATCTGCCCCTCACAGATGAGATGTGGCAATCTCACGTGTCATCTGTGACAGACGTAGGGTGCACGGGGTAAGTGACGGTTCGTCTGCCTTCCCCCTCTTGAATTTCAAATTTTCGTGCAAGTGACTGTTCGCCTTCTGCCTCTTTCTATAAGTAGGGTGGCTACCTCTTTCCTCCGCACTTTTTATTTTCAAAAATTTCCTGAGAAGCTCTGATACCGGCTGCTTCTTTCAAGACTTTCGAGCATCCGGCTTTCGCAAGAACTTGACGTCTGCCTTCCGGCTGAGTGCGGATTTAGTAAGGTACCGTCTGCTTTCTCCCTCTACCCCTAGATTAAGGACCTCACTCGGCATTTTGCCGCCTGGGTATATTATGTAAAATACCCTCATCCGTCATTTTGCCGCATGGGACTGGCTTGGGACAAGTCCAAAAAATCTCCCTCATCCGGCGTTTTGCCGTCTGGAATGTTTAATACACTACCATCCGGCATTGTGCCGCATGGGACCCCTTTAAGCCAACTTTGTTTTAATGCAGACTAGTCATAAGTACCCTCATCCGGCCTTTAGCCGTATGGGGGTGGTTTGATCAACCTTTGCTTTCAAACATCTTTCAAATTGCCCCCATCCGGCATTTAACCGTATGGGGGTAGTTTGAGTAGCCTTGGCTTTTTCTCAAACATCATTCAAATTGCCCCCATCCGGCATTTAACCGTATGGGGGTAGTTTGAGCAGCCTCGACTTTTCCCCAAACGTTGTTTTAATTGCCCCCATCCGGCGTCTAACCGTATGGGGGTTGTTTGAGCAGCCTTGAGCTTTTTCTCAAACATACAAATAGCCCCCATCCGGCTTTTAACCGTATGGGGATCGTTTGAGCAACCTTGGCTCAAACTGTTTCAAATTGCCCCCATCCGGCTTCTAACCGTATGGGGGTCGTTTGAGCAGCCATGGCTTAAACTGTTTCAAATTGCCCCATCCGGCTTTTAACCGTATGGGGGTCGTTTGAGCAGCCTTGGCTTTTTCTCAAACGGTGTTTAAATTGCCCCCATCCGGCGTCTAACCGTATGGGGGTTGTTTGAGCAGCCTTAAGCTTTCTCAAACATACAAATAGCCCCCATCCGGCTTTTAACCGTATGGGGGTCGTTTGAGCAACCTTGGCTCAAACTGTTTCAAATTGCCCCCATCCGGCTTTTAACCGTATGGGGGTCGTTTGAGCAGCCTTGGCTTTTTCTCAAACGTTGTTTAAATTGCCCCCATCCGGCGTCTAACCGTATGGGGGTTGTTTGAGCAGCCTTGAGCTTTTTCTCAAACATACAAATAGCCCCCATCCGGCTTTTAACCGTATGGGGGTCGTTTGAGCAACCTTGGCTCAAACTGTTGCAAATTGCCCCCATCCGGCTTTTAACCGTATGGGGGTCGTTTGAGCAGCCTTGGCTTTTTCTCAAACGTTGTTTAAATTGCCCCCATCCGGCTTTTAACCGTATGGGGGTTGTTTGAGCAACTTCCAGCCCATCTCTGCTATCCCTCATCCGGGACTCCGCCGCTTGGGGGGCTTTTAAATGAGCTTCCAATTAAATATGTCTGATCTATTTTTCTTTATTTCAGCTTCAAACACATTCGGAAATTTCCGCCTGTGTAGGTTTCAAGCCACCATCTCAGCAAATTCCAACCTCCAAAGGTACCGTCTGCACCCTTTTTCAATTCTTTTTGTTAATTTTCCGGTTGCATAGATAGGATATGGACCCTTCAATTATACACTCGGCACAGTTTACGACTGCTGTCAGGCGGTCACCAGGGACGGCTGAGTCTAGGACTGGGACTGCCGTCTGGGGGTATTTGGGCGAACCTTCACCTACCTCGAATCCGACCGTCTCTGTTCATGTGCAGGACAGAATGGCTCGGATAAGATGGACGGCAGTTGACCCGGATTACAAATCCGACGACGCAGCCGAAGATCCGGCTGATCCCAGAAACGAGGACCAGACGGCAGGACCGTCTGGTGAAATTCCCTTGGAAGAAACCTTGGGGACTCGTCAAGATTCTCCGAGTGGTCCGAGCACACCGGGTGATAGCATATTAGAAGACTCTGATTCTAATGCCGAAGGATCCGGCGATGAATCTGCTGGAGAAGGGTCTGGGCCCGAATCTGAAGCCCCAGCACAGGAGGCTGAGCCTATTGTTGAGGAGGCCTACAAATGGCCGGCTAAGGGGGATCCGACTGACATGACCATGTCAGCAAGAGACGTGGTCACCCTTACTGCAACCCTTCCTGCCTTTCTTTTTAAAAGGAAACCAGTTGGGAAGGACTGGGAAATAAGAGTCCCGCCTGTTAATGCAACCGTCGTATGGGAGGATGACTTGGACCATGCCGATGATTTTTTCGGCTGTTATGAGGCGGCATTCAAAGCAGGCCTCCGGTTCCCCCTTCACCCCTGCATCAAGGACATATTGCTGGGGTACGACTTGGGGGTATGGCAATTGACTCCTAACTCTTGGATCAATATTTTGGGGTACATTGCCGCGTGTGAGCTGCAGGAGGTAAACCCCAGTTGGGAGGCTTTTGCACACATGCATTACCTCAGCCGGGCTCCGGGTGGGTGGAACGCCTGGTACACCCTTACCACCAACCAAGAATACATGATGACTTTGGAGAAGCCATCAAAGTGGACCAACTGGAAGAGCAAATTTTATGTCGTCTCTTCGCCTTCCACTTCCCTAAATCACCGGCTGCGGCGGTATAATAAGCACCCGGCATTACTGGGCAAAAAATGCGCGCTCCCAAAAGTGCCGTCTGAGGCCTGGGACCAAATAATGGAGACGGGTCTCTTCCTCAAAACGACCCATCAGATGGAGGACGGAAGTGAAATCATCGTCCCAAAGTTCTGGGTACCACTCCCGGAATGGTTAAGGGACGAGTCATTCTTGTCCCTTTGCAATCTAAGTTCAATGTTTAAAAAGAGTAGGTTCATTAACCCATCCGGTATTCTGACACCTGATTATGCGTACACGCTCTAACTCGAATTTCCCTTTTCTGCAGGTACAGCTAAAAGAATGGTGCCTCCTGAAAAGACACCTGCCTTCTCAGCTATTGAGCTGAGAAAGAAGCAAATCGAAGAGAAGAAGGCGGCACTGGCCGCCAAGAATGGAGTAAAACCTCTTCCATTTCTTACCGGATGACATATGATCTGCCTTTGTTTCTAACTGATTGCTTTGTTTTGACTTTTCAGGGTGGAACCCAAGGCATGCCAAAATCATTAGCAAGCATGCACAAAAGACCGGCTGGTGTGATACCTCAGCCGGCTTCCAAAGCTCCAAGGCTGCCGGGTCCACCTTTGGCAGCTAGTCCTGCAAAGAGGACGTCTGACCCTGCCAGGCCAACCACTGCAGGGAAAAGCCTGCAGCTAACGCCGAGTGCTTCGGCGGGCCAGACGTCTGAATATTCATTTCCGGAAGTTAACATCTCCGAGAGAGATAGAGGCGAGGTCAGGCGGCCTCATGATGACCCCATAGTCATCGAGTGCAAAATCGCCAATCAAAGAGTTGGCCGGATCTTGATTGATACCGGGAGCTCATCCGACCTCATCAGCTACCGGTGCTTGGAGAAACTCAAGTATAAGCCCAGTAGCATGCTTCCGGCCTCATACCCTCTTGTAGGTTTTGGGGGAGGAGTAGTACATCCGGTGGGCATGATTGATCTACCCATCCGGTTCGGAGAGAAGGGTAAGGGCCGGCATATGGTTGTGAAGTTTCTTGTAGTAGAAGAGCTGACTGCCTACAATCTGATTATTGGCCGTCCCACCCTTAACCTCTCAAAGGCAGTCATCATCCCATCTCTAATGTTGATAAAGTTTGAAAGGGATGATGGCACAGTCGGTTCCTTGAGTGGGGACCAAAAGATGGCGAGAGAGTGTTACCTCTCGGACATCAAACCAACGCTTGACACAGGCGGTCAAGAGAAGGAAATTGTTGAACTTGACGACTGTGATCAAAGCTTACCGGCTACAAAGCCAGCCGGTAAAAAAGAGGAAGGCGAACCAACTGGCGCCTGTGAAGGAGAAACAATAGCAATCACTGTCCGGGGAGAGGACAAACGTTCTTCGCCCTCAGCCGGCAGGAGAAATAATTGATGTTGTCCTTGAAGACTGCCGGCCAGACAGAACCGTCAAGGTTGGAACGGCTGCGTTTGAAAGTTTGGGATCAGGTTTGCTCCTTTTGTTGAAGGAGTTCAAAGATGTGTTTGCCTTTGAAGTAGAAGAGATGCCGGGTGTAAGTCCGGATCTTGCTGTACATAGACTCGCTGTGGATCCTAAGAAGAAGCCGGTCAGGCAAAAGAAACGGAACCATGGCGAGGAAAGGTCCCAGGCGGCAGCAACCGAGGTCAAGAAACTCTTGGATGTTGGATTCATCCGGCAATGTTACTACCCGGATTGGGTAGCCAATGTCGTCCTTGTGAAAAAGCCGAATGGAACCTGGCGGATGTGTGTAGATTACAGGGACCTCAACAGGGCTTGTCCAAAGGATAGCTACCCGCTTCCAAAGATAGATCATTTGGTAGACTCTACAGCCGGCCATGCCCTAATGAGTTTCATGGACGCCTATTCCGGCTTCCATCAGATACCCTTGTGGAAGAAAGACCAAGAGAAGACGGCTTTCGTCACAGATCAAGGGCTATATTGCTACAAGGTGATGCCGTTTGGGTTGAAGAATGCGCCTGCTACTTTCCAGCGAATGATGAACTCGGTCTTTTATGATCAGATTGGAAGGAACGTGGAGGTGTACATTGATGATATGATTGTCAAATCAAAGCTGCAGGCGAATCATCTAGCCGACCTCCGAGAAACTCTCACCACCCTCAGACGGCATAAAGTCATGTTAAATCCTAAAAAATGCGTCTTTGGAGTTGAGTCCGGGAAGTTTCTTGGATTTTTGATTGATCAGAGAGGCATAGAAGCCAATCCGGACAAAGTACAGGCGGTGATCAACATGCAGTCGCCACGTACCGTTAGGGAGGCTCAAAAGCTTACCGGTTGCCTGGCGGCACTGGGAAGATTCCTCAGCCGGTCAGGTGACAAGTGCCTGTATTTCTTTCAAGCAATCAAAAAGAGGTCAAGGTTTGAATGGGGTGAAGAGGCTGAGGCGGCATTTCAACGGCTGAAGCAACACCTGCATTCTTTGCCAGGATTGGTGAGTCCCCTACCCCAGGAGGCTCTCTACATGTACTTGTCCGTCTCGGATCACTCCTTGAGCGCCGTCCTCCTTGCTGAGAGAGACGGTAATCAGCTCCCGGTATACTTTATAAGCCATATACTCCGGAATGCTGAACTTCGTTATCCCATGATCGAAAAATTCGGTCTGGCATTGTTCAAAGCAGTCAAGCGGCTGAAACCGTATTTTTTAGCACATCCGGTGACCGTTTACACTGATCAGCCGCTCAAAAGGGCTATGACCACTTTAGAGTCATCCGGAAGAATGATTAAATGGGCTGTGGAAATCCAAGGCTTAGAAATCACTTTCGAACCCAGGCGAGCAGTTAAGGGTCAGGCGTTTGCCGACTTCATTGTTGAAATGACAAGGCCAATACAGCCGGATAAAACCGATGAAGTTTGGAGGGTTTATGTAGACGGGAGCTCTACGCTGAATGGCTGCGGAGCGGGTGTAATTATTCACTCTCCGGAGGGGGACAAATACGAGTACGCTCTACGATTCAAGTTTCAAGCTTCGAATAATGAGGCTGAATACGAGGCCCTGCTAGCCGGTATCCGCATGTGTAAGGCGGTCGGGGCAAGGAAAGTTGATGCCTGCTCAGATTCCCAACTCATCGTTAGCCAGTACAACGGTGACTACGAGGCCACCCATCCGGTGATGATTATGTATTTGCAGGCGGTCAAAGAGGAGGCTGGGGCATTTGATGAATTCAACCTGAGTCAAGTACCCAGATCCGAGAATAATCAGGCGGATGCACTATCCAAACTTGCATCCTCCGCCACATGTGATACGCCTAGATCAGTCTTCTGGGAAGTCATGGAAAAGAGAAGCATTGAACATGACCCCATTGGACTTCTAGATCGAAGCTCCACATTGATGGACCCCATCCGGAATTACTTGGTAGACGGCACTCTACCGGAAACCTCATCCGAAGCAGCTGCTCTTAAAAGACGAGCATTAAGCTTCGCAATGCACAACGGTGAACTGTTTCGGAAGGGCTACTTGCAGCCGCTATTCAAGTGTGTTACCCCAGAACGGGGCAAGGAAATACTGGAAGATCTTCACGCCGGCTTCTGTGGATCTCACATTGGCGGGAGGACCCTCGCCAAAAGAACCCGGCGCCAAGGATACTTTTGGCCTACACTTGAGGCGGATGCATTAGATCTGGTGAAAAGATGCGACAAGTGCCAGAGGTTCGGCCGGATGATAAGGCAGCCGGCAACTGATATGACAGCTATTCACAGCCCAATTCCCTTTGCAAAATGGGGCATGGATATTTTGGGGCCATACACTCCTGCCCCAGGCGGCAGAAGATACATTTTGGTGGCTGTTGATTACTTCACCAAGTGGGTTGAGGCCGAGGCAGTAAAGGGCATCAAAACAAAGGATGTCATCTCCTTCATTTGGAGGAATGTCATCACCCGGTTCGGTGTACCAATGTCAATGGTCTTTGACAATGGCCCCCAGTTCGAAACGCCTGTCCTGAAGACTTGGTTGCAAGATCAAGGGATTTCCCACTACTTTGCATCCGTTGGCCGTCCGCAAGCAAACGGTCAAGTTGAAGCTTTCAACAAGCTCATCTCAAGCGGCATAAAGAAAAAGATCGAGAAGGCAGGCGGGCTTTGGGCAGAAGAGTTGACTCACGTTCTTTGGTCCATCAGAACCACTGAGAAGGGGTCAACCGGTGAAACTCCATTCCTTATGGCATATGGCACAGAGGCGGTTCTTCCCATTGAATTATATGAGCCAACACTTCGAATCATGTTGTATGATGAAGAGGCAAATTGGGAAGCCATGCGCCTGTCTCTGGATACTCTTCCAGAAAGAAGGGGCAACGCCGCCTTGCGTCATGAAATCTACCGCCTTCGAATGACGAGGGCCTACAACAAAAAGGTGCTTAAACGCCCCCTCAAAGTTGGAGATTTTGTATTACGAAAGCTTGAAGCAACTGGTAGGGCATACGAACAAGGGAA